TTTCTTTCTTCTCTCCTCCTCCTCTCTCTCTCTCTCCCCCCCTCCTCTCTCTCTCCTCATTTTTATCGCGACGTGAGAACAAGCGATTCTTCACACGTTCTCGATGAGGAAACCAGAATGAAAAGCAAATGGTAGTATTCCAGATGGGTCAAGCGTAGCCACCTTAAGGACGTTCTATTCTTGGAAGTTGCATCTATCAACCGTTAGCCGTGATAGCTTCTTTCCTGATGAATCCACTATATTTTGCCGTGCATCGCGAGTTCCCCGTATCGCCGTTTCGATTTATTGCTTTAACTTGACTTTAATTGCTTCGCCGATACTCCTCGTGTTTTCTTCCACTCGCTACTTCAGTATTATAATTTATCATTCTTCTGGCTTCTTCGAAGAACCTGTGCTTCTTTCCTTCACGATTAGAATGCACTTGCGTGTGAACTCGCGGCGAAAACGATCGTGTGCTCGCTAGACGAGAAAATTGAGAGAGAATTGAATCGGGTAAAGTTGTGCGAAAAAATTAACGACCCTTGTAAAGTTGGTAAATGAAAAACGAAAGCTGCTTTTCATTCAACACTTGTTCGTCAAATCTCTTGCGAATAATTTTGTTCGATTCGATATTATAAAATATTCGAATGTTTTCCACGAGGAAAATATGCTTAACAACACGGCGCAAGCGCGGTTTTCGCGGAACGTTCGAATAAAAATATTGGCCACATGTTGCGACTTGAAGAAGGCGGACAATAAAGTGGCGAGGTTATTAACGTCATAATTATTGGCGGAGATAAGTCGTTCACGAGGGACTTAATGAGTTTTCCGAATGAACGATTAACTCGAGAGGCCGAGGTGGTCGTGATTTATAGCTCGGGTGAAAAATGAAAGGATACGTAGGGTATTTGTGTGTGTGAGACGCGTGGGCGCGTTTCACGTCGCGTTTCGGTTTAAGAGAGGAAAGCAAATGGCCAATGCGAAATGGTCGAAAGAGCAGAAGTAACGAAAACCTGAATCCAATTTATCGCGATCCTTTCGATCAAGATTGGCCGAGTTCTCGAGAAAGAAAAGAAAAGAAGAAGAAAAAAAAAAAGATAACAGAAATGGAAGTTTGACGAAACGAAATGGTTGAACGAGACGAACGAGAGCGTCCATGCGGCAAAGGGACCGCATCCGGGGCAAGGCGGGACCTGCATCCGGTCTGAAAACGGATGAGACCTGGTATTCAAGTGCAAATCATTTCACGGCATTGTGCTCGTGAGTTCGAGACCGTGGTAATGACAAAATCGTTTCTACAACTGCCATCAACTTCCAAAGAACCAGACTGGTCGACGCCTTATTCCGAGAAATCGCTCGACACGGTTTTTTGTCGATGGTTTTTCGCGGAAAACGACAACTCGTGTCGATTCTCTACTATTCATATGTTGGTACATACGGAGACCAATAGATAGGTAATTTACAATTGAATGAATAATGAATCATTTCTATCAAGACTACGACGTGTGACACGTTTCTCAAATACTTCCTCTGTTTTATATCCCGCACTATGTAACAAGATAAATTTTCTTTTCATTACCCGATTAACGTTATTGGATATTCGCGATTTCATGTTCGAGATTGCTCTTTTCCTACACTTAATTGGAATGCTCTTATTATTGCGTCGAGATCCGTTCAGACTTCTAATTCCATCCTCCCTAGTAAAATATTTACATAATGCCGCCAATTGAACCGTTGCATCGAAATCTCTGCATGCGCAACTTGTAATTTAAGTTGGTCGCTCCGAGGTATAGCTTCCAATTGCCCGAAGCGATTCGTCCACTTAGGACAAACTAAGACGCAGTGCCGCTACTACCAACGGATTGTTTGTGCCGCCTTTTCAAGGCAGACATGGTGAGAATACAGGTTTTTCGCAGTGGTTTCTTGGAAGACCTCAAAGTTACTTCAATTTCTTAGCACCAATCCTCTTAACATTGTTTAAATCGTTAGAATCGTGACTGTCGATACCGTTATCAATAAAATTAATACTAAACTATTGATTGTGCATATAAATATATAGTTATTTAATTGATTTGTCGATCAAAAATTTAAACAATAAAGAGATTTCAGGACTAATAAGTTAGTTATAGTAATTGGTTTTTGAATCCTTCGAATATCGATAATATTGATATGTTGTCGATAACTCGATATGTCGATAATATCGTCAAAATGTCGATAGCAGATGTTAATAATTAGAATCCTATTTTTAAAGATATTGTTAACGATTATTCACGAATTAACGATATTTCATTGCTTTTTTTGATATATTTAAAATATCATTAAGATACCAATATAAATGGATTAGAAATAGCTTAATATAATTTTTCAATAAAATTTATTTTTACTGCAAGTTTTATTACAAATAGCATTTTTATGTATCTTAATAATAATCAATAAGAAAAAAATAATAACTTATTATTTATTTCTATTCGTTAACGTAATATCGATATATCAAAAGCTGAATATCGATTAAATGTCGATAATCGATAGTCGCAACTCTAGTCCAACTACAATATGGCGGAAGTGTGCGAGAACGTGAGAAACGTGAGAGTCGATCGAATTTTGTTCTTGTTATTTTTCAATAATTAAGTGGATAATAATTATCAACCAAACGCATTAAGTTTAGTTGCGCATTAAACAACGGATAAGGTTGGAACTTCACACAGCTTCTGTGCAGTGAGACGAAATCGTGTTCGCGGTCTTGCATGAGTCGTTAATGAATGCAATTCAATTGGTAAGATCGATCAACGTCTGATGCATAGATTACGGGCAAGATCGATACATTGAAATCAATTTTTAGTAATTCGATTGATGTGATGTGCAGAGGCGAGGCGCGATTCGTTGCCTCGTTCCTTGGTTCGCTTGTTCGCTTGGAAACAGCGGGAGGAAACGAAGAAAGGAAAAGAGAGAATGGCGAGGGAAGGAAGAGGGCGGGTGTAAGGGTAAGCACCAAACCTGCCGAGGAATAGCTTCACGCATGCTTCCCACGTGACTCAGCCGCTCGAGCATAGATACGTATCGTTTGGTAAGCCCTCTGTGTACAACCTGCACGCACGATGCGTGGCGAAACGTCGTTTCGACTGGTCGTGTTCATGACTCAACCGAGCCACTAACCTGCTCCTGCGTTTTTCAGTTCTCCCTCGTTTCTTCATTTATGCTCCCTTCATCGTATATGAATATGACGCATCTTTGGAAACTTCGATTCAAAGGCCAAACTTCCGCCTTTCTGAGAAGTATCATCAGTTACGAGAAATATTACGTGGACATTGTGAGGTTAGTGGGTTGAATCGATATTTTACAATATTCAAATCGATGATTCGATACAAAAATATTTACTTAGTAAGAGGTTAGGTATTAATGTTTTAGATAACTTGATATTATTTTTTTATAACGATATCTTTTATAAAACTATATTAAATCAATACAATATCGAATCAGAAACTTTATCGTTTAATACTTTACTTCGATATTTACAAAACATTTATGACTGTTTCTTGTTGCATCTATCTCGTTTTTTTTTTTTAGTTATGTCTATTCTTTTTATTGACTTTTACTTTTGATTTTTTATTCTAATTATAAAATATTAACAAATATCTTCTAAAACTAACTTTGTGAGCTAGATTTTTGATTCGATATAATATTGGTTTGATATTATCTTAGTGAAAAATGATACCAAGTATCTAAAACTTGTAGATTCAATACTGGGGTATCGATTCTAATACTACGTGATGCAACGCAGAACGTACGCGTATTACATTGCATCTGTTTTTGATTCTAGGAAGCGAAAGTCACGTCCATTTCCCGATATGTGAAACATTTTCACAGAAGTCAGAATGTGTGCATAATATTCAACGAATAATTAAAATTCTCAAACCTTGGCGATCGATCGTTAATTCAACATCGCTCATAAAAAATCCATGATCAACAGCGAGGTTTCAATCGATTTCGATTCTCGAATAGTTCCAGACTCGAATACGCTTTGTTTACGAATTCAATGGCTATTATTATAGGTTATTCGCATCTCTAAATACTTCACGTACTTTTATTTGTTCCTTTTTCGTCGATTTATCATCATTTATATCGAGAGAATGTGTAATGTAAGTACAGAATATCATTATATGATATATGTATTTCTGATTTAATATTTTTCAGTTGAAATAAATTGCAATCATTAGAATTATCTAAATCCACTAAAAATTATAATTAAAATTAGAAGATTTAACAGGCATCTATATACAGTATAAATATATAAATAGGAAAGTTCTTTTTTCTAATTCAATTAATTCTATTACTAATTAACCTACTAAAAAATTTCGTTTCTTCATTTTACATATTTACATATCCAAAAATATAAAAATTCTTACTTAGTTTTTACATAAATACAAGTTAAAAATTATTCCTATTTATATTCCCATCACTGTGTGCACAACATGATGAACTGCACGATAGAAATGACTAATTCGTAAAACCGCGATTCCTTCGATTAACCATTATATTCAATGTCACAATTTGTCCTCGATAATATGTGCTGCTCACATCAATACCAAACATTGCTATTTTGCATTTTCAAGGAAACGAAACCTCTCCGATCTGCTAAATTTAACGCAACATTGAATTTGCAATCTCGAACGACAATTGAGAATTAAAGAAGTAAAGCGTGATTTACGAGCGATTTCAAGGTATTTCGTAAAAACGTCACGACCCAAAGTGTCGCAAGTTATCGAAATAAGGTCGTTCACGAGCACAACAGGCGAGATCCTGTAGTAGAAGGGTTGTCGTTCGCAGGTTAGTATCGGCGATACCTAATCGCGTTTCGAAGGAAACCGAGACTATAAATCAAGCAGCTTTCAAAACTGGTTGCTCGCCGCAGAGACATGATCTCATTAATACCGTGCTTCGGTCACGGTAATTGGACAGTTCTTGGCGGCACGATCGACGAGTTTCGGCCAGTATCGCGGAACCCACGCACGAATTCGCGTATCCCGCGTCGTGACGCGAGATTGGTAACGATATATATGTGACGAAACCGAGAAAGGCAGTCGTCGATCCGAGTCGGCCTCCTTCGAGAACCATGGTCGATACGATTACTTACGTGACATTTCGAATCTATGGCTATATCTACGACCGAGAACATTAGCTGCGTATCCCATATATCATCATACATCATCGATGTGTAAATGTTCCGTATCAAATAATGAAGAATAACTCGATATATGATCGCAGTGTTAAAGAAATATAAAATCCGAATTTTCTTGCGAATCTTATACAAACATCGGCACACTGCATCTCGATTTCTCTAGTCTAGTATCTATATTTATAACGTATCTTACTTTCATCTCACTTTATCGAACTGTGCTCAAATTTAGTCGAGAAATGAAAGTCGAGGTATGTAATAAAAAAATATCGATATTTTCGTCCCGAATATTTATTTGAAAAACTCGTTAAAAAATGTTCGATAACATTTTATAATATATATATATACATACAATTCAACAACAAATTAAATTTTGCAACGAGGCTATGAGCAATCGCTATATTCGATATCGAGGCTACCAGTCGATGCATCAGAAACGATTCTCGATCTAACCCTTGAACCTTAACTTAACAAAACTTAATTCGCTCGCTCGAGTATTTTGCCCGTAATGTAACGTATTTATGGCCACGCACTCGATCGGTCGAAACGAGACAGACGGAGGATGGAAAAGGTGAGATGAGGAGGCCTACTTTGCACGTGGCCTACTTGCGGAACACCGGCGGTCACGCGAGAAGGCATCGAAGCCTTCGCCACGCATCTCCAGCCGATTCTGACCTCGAACCGAATCGGAAGTACCTTGGATTTTCCCTATTCGCCATGGAATTTCGCCTCGCAACGTCTCTCTCTCTCTCTC